GAAGTCGATTGGCCTATAGCAAGGCAGGATAAAATTAGGTGGGACAAGCAAACTGAGTTTACTGGGATGAAGAAAGATGGAGTCAGAAAGTCGCTGACAGACACAGAGAGAGCAAGATGGGCAGGCTGTACTGAGAAAAGGTACCAAGCCATGTGGCAAAGCATAGATAAGAAATATGGGTTAATTTAAATGTAAGAGTTAGCTAGTTAACAAGCCTGAGCTGTGAGCCGAACATTTGTAATTAATATTAAGTCTCCGAGTTGGTTATTTGGAAAGCGGCCATGGCACAGGAAAACTCTGCCTATAAGCAGAGGAGCTGTTAAAAAAAAAAAAAGTTCAAGTATGGTGGTACATACCTTTAATCCCAGCACTCAGGAGGCAGACCGATCTCTCAGTTTGAAGCCAGCCTAGTCTACCATAGGGATTTCCAGGCCAGCCAGGACTATGTAGTGAGATCTTGTCTCAATAAGTAAATAAATAAGTAAACAAACAAACAAATAAATAAAGAAGGAACTGGAAAGATGGCTCAGCTGTTAAGAGCACTTGCTGCTCTTGTAGAGGACCAGCTTGGTTCCCAACACCCACATGACAGCTTACAAACATCTCTAACTCCAGTTCCAGGGGACTCAACACTTTTTTCCTGGCTTCCATGGGCACCAAGCACAAACATGGTGCACATATACATACATGCTTAAAAATACTCATACACACAAAACAAACAAACAAATAGACACTAATTCCAAAGTCAAACAGAGCTGGTTTATATATGCTTTTCGAAATAATGCCACTCCAGTTCTGCAGGCCTGGTAAAAGTTGGGAATAAGGGGCCAGCGAGATGGCAGGTAAATTTGCCTGTCACTAAGGCTGGTAACCTGGATTTAATAATCCTTGGGACCCATATGGTGGGAAAAGAGGACCAACTCCCGTAGACTGTCCTTTGACCTCTACATGCATACATATGCTTTGGTAAAACCATGGCGGACTCTGGGATGGGGGTGGGGGTGATGGGGGGAGGGGGTGATGGGGGGGTGATTGCATACCTTTGTGTGGAAAGGTAAAGGAAGGGGAGAGACTGTCCACTCTGAGGAAATTTCTGAAAGGCAGATCTTTCAGCAGCTCAAGGAGAAAAAAAAAAAATGCAAATAGGGCCCAAGAAGAAAAATGAGTACCGGTCTATTTGTTCTAAGTGGGTATTCTCAGTGATGTCCTACTTAAAAAAATCATGACATTTATTTCTTTATTTATTGTGTGCATGCTAGTTATTTATGTGTGTGTGTGTGTGTGTGTGTGTGTGTGTGTGTGTGTGTGTGTGTGTATGGGGAGTGATTTTATTTTGTTTTATTATTCTCATTCTCTCTCTGTCTCTCTCATGCCAGGGCAACCATATGGAGGTCAAAGAACAACTTTGAGGAGTTGGTTCTCTTCTCCCACCTTTTTGTGGGTTCTGGGAACTGGACTCAGGGTGCCAGGCTTGTGTGGCAAGTACCTTTATCTGCCGAGCCATCTCGCTGGCTACTCTTCTATCTGGGAAACTGTGTTATCCACAGTATCTAGAACACGGCTTGCCTCTTAGTAGCGTTCAAGAAATACTTGTTAAACAGGGTGTGGCGGTGCAAACCAGTCATCCTAGCACTTGGGAGGTGGAAGAAGAAAGCTCAGGAGTTCAAGGACGTTCTTGGTTATATAATGAGACCAAACTGGGCCATAGGAAACTCAAACCACCCCCTCCCCACAAAAGAAAGAAAGAATTGTTGACTGGTGCTGAATTAAGTATTGGAAACTCAGATGGGAAAGGCAAACTGCTATGATCAAGGTCACAAATGACTGATGCATGGAAGAGCTGAGACTTGAAACCAATTTTGATTCTTCATTTTTTAGCCTGCCCAATTTAGGAGGCAGATCCTAGAAAAAGAAGTCTGTTTCCTGTTCCCCAATTCCTCCATCACTAAAATTACTAAATTACATCACTAAATTACTAAACTTGTCTAGATTCATTTCCTTCATTGGCCATGAGAAAGGCTAAGGGTCTTCCCATGACAGTTTCACGACAACTAATGAATGAACAAGGTCCCTCCCAGCCCACAGGCTTGACTGTCCTAACATGCCTGCTCTTGAAGTGTTCAGCACATCAGCATTGTCAGGATCACCTGGGTGGGGGAAGCTAGAAATATGCTGAGTCTTGCAGTTGTAAGAACTAATGCTCTAGATACACAGTTGAGTTTTGCAGTTTTAAGAACTAATGCTCTAGAATCATAGTTGATTTGGAAGGCTTCCATTATTAGGCTTGCTTCTGAGGCCCTCCCCCTCTATCATGACCGTGCATATAAAAAGTGATAATATTTCTGTGTCTTGGTGAAGAAAACCTAGGCTGTCTCCTTGACAATATACATCTTACTTAGAAACCCTTCACATGCACCAGTGAGGAGAACAAGCTGGAGGAAAATATAGATAATGCCCAGATTCCACACTGTCAAGACAGCACGAGATCTCTGTGTTTGCAGGGTTGTGTGACAGGAATAGTATCTGAATATAGATAATACTATTATAAGAATATTGACCCTGTCTTGTAAAAAAAAAGAGAAAGAAAATTGAGAATACAAGGTTGCTAAAAGAAGATATACATTTTTCTTTAAGAACTGAAAACAAGGAGCTGGAGAGATGATTTAGCAGTTAAGAGCACTGACTGCTCTTCCGAAGGACCCAGGTTCAATTCCCAGCACCTACATGTCTGCTCACAACTGTCTATAACTCCAGTTCCAAGGTATCTGACACCCTCATACAGACATACATGCAGGCCAAACACCACTGTACATAAAAAAATAAATTAATTAGAATAAATAATTTTTAAAAAGTGAAAACAAAATACAAGCCCAATCCATGTGTTAGTTGGCTTTACTTGTCAGTCTGACCTAACACTTGTTAGGAGAGGCTACGGGAGGGATTGTCTAGATTAGTTTGGTTTATGGGCATGCTGTGCAGGAGTGGCTTGCCTATGTATTGATGTGGGAAGACACAGCCCATAGTGGGCAACATCATTCCCTACATTTGGGTCACTAGCTGCTTCAAGTTCCTGCCTTGACCTCCTGGAAATAATAGACTATAACTTGAAAATGTGAGCCAAATAAAACCCCTTTCCATTAAGATCACTTTTGCCAGGGTATTTTTTTTTTTATCACAGTACTAGGAACAAAATTATAACCCCCCATAATTACATTATTAACCTTCTCTTAGGCGTTTCTATACAATAACATGTTTATATAAAGGCATTTAAAAATTTTTACAATGCAGATGCTGGTCCCCTACCTGAGAACTCTTAAAGTAAAACCCTGTGGTTGGGAGCTGTGCAGTCGTGGGTGATTGCCTAGATATTCCAAGGGACTGTAGCAGTGAAATCTTAGACTTTTGTGCAGAGTGCATCTTTAGCTAAAAAGAGAGCACAGTTGGAAATTTCCACCCTGCAGTGCACGCTCAGCTGATCCTTATTGCCTTGGAATATAGAAGATAAGTATAATAGATGCTGAGTTCAGGAGAGGCAAGGCAAGCCACAGGGCAGGGGCCTTGCTGTTGACACACATCCAGCCAGTATTTATTTGTTTGGCTCTGAAGACATGCAGGACACGTTTTACACGGTATTTCATGTTTATTCTTTAGCTTCTAACACAGCAGCACAATACAACTATCAAAATTGAGCTTGGATTTCAACAGGTGTTGAACACTGAGTCAGAAACCAGGTACGGGGCAGCTGCCGAGGATCTGATTAGAACAGATTGCCCCCCCCCCCCGCCCCCCAAATCTAGAGTCTTCCCACCTTGTGGTGATCAGTGTGGGGTGCCTGCTTCCTAATTAGTAGGTGCTGTTAGTTGGCTGAGTGGAAGCAGATGCTTTGTCATCCCAACCTGGATTCTACCAGATTACAGCAAGGTGTGAGTGTGTGTGAGTGTGTGTGTGTGTTTGTGTGCGTGTGAGCAAGCGCGCGTGCTTTCACATCGAAGAAAAGTTATTATTGCCGAGGTGACTTTGCATAGTGCAAGGCCCTCAAAAAGCTACGGATAATTAAATCTAGGTTCTCCCAGTTCTTAGGCCCCCACTTAAAAAAAAAAAATCTGGGTTTTCATAGCTTCATCCAAGCGCCGTTCCGTTAAGAATGGAAGGAAGGTTAGAGTTGGGAAAGCCATGCCTTCTCAACAAGTTCCGGGGTGGCGCAAAGAGCAATGACTGATAGAATGTGTCAGTCATTTACAAGAACCGTTTTCGATAAGTCATTCCCGGCACTGGGAAGAAAACAGGCAAAAGCCAAGAGGTGTGTATTCTGCAATCCAAATGCCTGAAAATAAAAGTCAACAATTTCCCTTCCACTATTATTAACGTGAGGGCCTTGATCGCTTGACTCCGCCACCTGCTCCGCCTCCCCACGCCCCCAGCGATTACGAGTAGGGAGGGAGGATGGAGGCAGGGGCTGGGCCCGGCTCTGAATCTTGCCTTTTCTTGGAGCAAGTCCGGATCCTCAGCGCGAAGCCGCTCTCCGAGACTTCGCAGTAACCCAGGACTGGAGGGACTGGCTGGGCTTCCCAGGTGGGGGCCAGGGTGTTTTAAATTGCTTTAGGACCCCCCACCCCCCACCTCTCCGCTCTTGGGGGGGCTGTACTCTATGGCCCCGGGAGCGGATGTTTCTCCACCTCTGCGACTCGCTCTCCAGGTGTTGCCTCCCCCCCCCCCCCCCGTTGCCACGTGCGACCCGCGCGCACCATCCTCCCTCCACCCAACACCTCCCCTTCTCCAAGCCGCGCTAGGTGGGTCCCGGGGACCGCGGGCCTGGAACCTGCCCTCCGCCTGCGCTCGCCCTTCGGTCGGAGGCAGAGCCCGGAGCGCAGATCCAGGCGGGAAGGGACGGCCGGATGGCTGGGCGCCGCGGGCCGCCGCCGCACCGGGCATGCTCAGTGGCACGGCCGGCGAGGTGGCCCGCGAGCTGCACCCGGATCTGCGCGGCGGCGGCGGCGGCGGCGGCGGCGGCGACGTGAGCGCGCAGGGGGGCGGCGGCCTCGCCTCGTCTGTGTCTCGGCGCCGGGCTCGGGTGGGTGACGCGCAGTGCCGGGGCGATGTCGGATTTTGACAGCAACCCGTTTGCGGATCCAGATCTCAACAATCCGTTCAAGGTGAGCGCCGGGCCGCGGCCCTAGCCCGCGCTGGGCGTCGCGGTGGCCGCGGAGGCCCTGCCCGGAGGGTCTCGCTCGGGTCGCAGCGTCACCGGCTTCCGCCACCAACCTGGAGAGGGGGTCGCGCCGGGCCCCCGGACCCGCGGGGACCGGGAGTCCGGCCCGGAGAGGAGCCGGGCAGGTGTGGCCGCCACTACTCCGGCCGGCCGGCACGGCGGGCCGCGCCGCGGGCGCCCGGAGGCCGGGGCGCCGGGGCTGGGGTTGTCATGGGGACCTGGCACCGGTGCTGCGTGCGGTGATGGCAGAGGTGTACGGGTGAGAGGCGCGGGTACAGGGACGCTGCGATCCAAAGATAAAGGGGGTGTTTTAATGATCGAAATTCGGTTGCGCCCGGAGCCACCAGTGGCGCTGCCAGAGGCCCCCTTCCCCACCGGGCCCAGCTTAGGGGAACTGGCATCAAACAGAAGTTAAAAATAAATAAACATCTGGAAACAATAGTGTACGCGGGCATCTCCCCACCTAGCTGCTGTTAGCGAGGTGGACCCTGGGCCATTTTCCAAGCTGGGAGTGCGTCACCCCGGCTGTTTGAGGATTCCGTTCCTCACGTGAGAGTTGCTTTCCCTCTTGGAGTAGACATGATCCCCAGCCTCCGACGGGCTTGGCACAGAAATGGCCAGGCAGGCCGTTTGGATCTTGGTCATCTGCTCTCAAATTAATGTCGCGACCGAACTCTGCCTTGAAAAGTACTTTGGGTCTCTTAATGACTGTGAGGCTTAGCAAGGCAATTTCTTCCAACTGTTAGCGTGGTTAGTCGTTTCTTAATCTTCCTGACCGTATGCGGTGCAAACTTTAATTGGCAGTCACAAATGTGAAATAGGAACTAATTTGTGGCCACCCAGAGTGCGGCTTCTGGCTTGTTGGGTTTCCCTCTTTTTAGTCCTTTTGTGGCTTACCGGCATTATTGAAGGAAAAAACACCCCTGTTCTGATGATGGTTTAACCTCATGACTTCATGAAGGGTTATTTTAATGAAGTGATCCGGCTTATACTTGACAGCTGGATTCATTTTGCAAACTGCAGAGAAAACTTGTCATCGTCCAGGTGACCGTACCTTTCCAGACCCCTCCTCTCGTTCATTTGCTCCGGTATTTGCTTTTCATTGTTTTGAGGCAGGGTCTCCCTATGTAGTGTAGCTGGACTTGAACTTTCTACCCTTCTGCCTCAGCCTCCCAAATGATGTGATTGGATAAACCACTCAGGTGCATTTGAAAGGAAGTTCCGTGCTCCCCCACCCCGACCCCTACCCGAAGTTTTGTTTTAATTTAGTATTGGACTCACTTCTGTGTAGTGAAAAATTGGGCTGTTTTTAAATTATGGATATCCCAAAGAAACATTTCATAATTTGCCAATTGAGTGTCATTTAAAAACATTTAAAGGTGAAACATTAAGAACCCATTTGCCTCTCCTAGCTCTGATAATTCATCGATACTGTTTATTACGCATCTGCCCACGTGGCTGTTGATTTTACATCTGGTCACCCATTTCACGGTTCCTTTCATATTAGTCTCTTGTTAGGGAGAGATCCTGGCTTCTTATCACAGACTGCTGTTTTGTGACATGTAATGTTGCCGTGATTCCTTCCTCTTCTGCCAGGAGTAAGGTTGCTGTGATAACTCTAAACACAAAATAGTTTTCAACTATTAATCATGGTAGAAAATGATTAACATTTTCTGTAAGTGGATGCATTCAGGACAGTGATTCAAGTCCATAGAATGCTTTAAAGGGGGGTGATTGACATCTAAGGAAGGTTTTGTTGACTTCTGTTTTGCCATGTTTCTTCATTTGGAGGGGGGCTGTACACCACTGTCAGTGTCCCTGACTCTATCGTTTGTTCCATTTTTGCTAGCCGCCCTCCTGTGTCTCAAAGTAACCCTTATATCTGCTGCTTTGGCTTCATTTTATGTGGAAGCAACTTTTGAAATAGTTTTTTTTTTTTTTCATACTCTTATTTACAAAGTTCCCAGAATTCTTACTGTTTCCTTATGGTCACTTTTCTTTTTAAATCTTGTTTTTGACATTTGTTACCCACAGTCCTTAGTTATCTCCTACTTGGTGTTGGTTTGTGTGTGTTTGGCTTTTGAAACTCTTGCAGCAAAAAGTGGCCTTGAACTTGTGACCATTGGATTCACAGGCCGTTCTCATCACACCTCATGGATGATGTTTCTCAGGGTTTCTTTGCCTGCATTGTTGTGTCAGGACACTTTTGTGAACTTCTTCTTTGAGCCATGTCATGAAAAATCATTTCAGAATGGAATTGCCTTTGATGATAGAAGCACAGTGGTTTACTCGATTCTCTTGACTATGGTAAAATTCTTTGCTGAATTCAGTTCATATGTCTTCTTTGAGCACCCGCTTTATTCCAGTGGTTATGGTAGGCCTAGTGAATGGTGTTATGAAATTTCAGTGTCCTTTAGTGTGCATAAGAAAGTTGAAGTAATCAAAACTCTATGGAATCCAAAACAAAATACTAATTTTGGGAAATTTCTCAAACTCCGCTTAGGAGTTGTTAAAATGTGGCTTTAATGCCTGAATCCCAGCACCCAAGAAGTAGAGGCAAGAGGATTAATACAAGTTTGAGACCAGCATGGCTAAAACTGGGAGACCCTGCCCCCAAAAGTAAAATAAAGGAAGAATATTTTCTACATACTCAACGTGTAGATTTTGAACAGTTGCTAAATGTCCCTTACTCTGTTCAGTTTTCATTTATCCAGCAGATCTGAAGCAGAACTCTAATTTCGTGGGCCTTGGTTTGATGCCAAGGGCAGGCATGCCTGTGAAGTAGGAGACGGCGTTAACCAGTAGAGGCCAGAATAGACCCCCGCAGCTGATCTAAACACCAACGATTAAATGCTGGACAGAGTGCCAGTTGTTCATAGGAGGGGGATGTTAATAGGGGGCCAGATATCCATAGGCCTTCTCGTATGTTTTTGTATCTTAATGTAATTGAATTAGATAAATCACAGAAATAACATTTAAATGAATTCATCTTCAGAACACAAGGAGAATCAGAATTCAGAGCTTGGAAGAATCCGTCCTCAGATATAATCTGTCAGATCTCATCAATGGCAGAAAAAGCAGAGGGGGCGGGTTGACTGCTCCCTCGTGTAGATTGCTGTCAGACTGTGTGTCCAGATTCCTAGTCCGTCGCCGCTAGCGCCGTCTGATGATTATTGTGTGTGTGGGAGTGGGATGCCAGCGTTGCAGTGTGCGAGCGGTGGCCAGAGGGCACATCTGTGGAGTCAGTTTTCTTCTTCCACTTCCTGTGGATTCCTGGGGATCAAGCTCAGGCCCTGGGTTTGCGCAGCAAGCACCTTTGCCTCGGCTCCGCTCTGTGTTTCTTATGTGGGGCTTAGACTTGAGGCTCTATGGCGTGGTAGCAGAAGTGAGGTCTGAGTGTGGGCTTACAAAAGGCCTTGTTTTGATCCTCGTTTATCACTCACCAGTTGAGGGGCCTAGGAAAGTCACTCAGCTTCTTTCAGCCTCAGCTTACTAGTCTCTAAAATAGGAGCAAATATCTTGTGCTGGCTGATTTTATGTCCGCTCGACATCGGCTAGAGTCATCTGAGAGGCGGGAACTCCAACAGAAAATGCCTTCAGAAGACTGGGCTGGAGGCAAGCCTATGGAGCAGTGGTTCTCAACATGTGGGTCACGACCCCCTTGGGGTCACATATCGTGTAGCTAGAGTTTTCCTGCCTGGCCCACAGTCAGGACAAACTCTCTGACCTGCCAGTCCCACAGCCACTCAGACCCAACCAAATAAACATAGAGACTTATATTGGTTACAAACTGTATGGCCGTGGCAGGCTTCTTGCTAACTGTTCTTACAGCTTAAATTAATCCATTTCTATAAATCTATACCTTGCCACGTGGCTTGTGGCTTACCGGTACTTTATATCTTCCTTGTCCTGATGGTGGCTGGCAGTGTCTCCCTCACCCAGCTTCCTGTTCTCTCAATTCTCCTCTCTGTTAGTCCCGCCTATACTTCCTGCCTGGCCACTGACCAATCAGTGATTTATTCATTGACCAATCAGCAACACATTTGACATACAGACCATCCCACAGCAATATCGGATATCTTGCATGTCATATATGTATATTACGATCCATAACAGTAAGAAAATTACAGTTATGAAGTAGAAACGAAAATAATTTTATGGTTGGGGTCTCCACAACATGAGGAACGGTATTAAAGGGTCGAAACATTAGGAAGGTTGAGAACCACTGCTCTAGAACATTTTCTTAATTAGTGATTGGTGGGAGAGGGCCCAGACCATTGTGGGTGGCCATCCCTGGGCTGGTGATCCTCGGTTCTATCAGAAAGCAGGCTGAGCAAGCCAGTGAGCAGCTCCCCTCATGACCTCTGCATCAGCTCCTGCCTCTCTAGGTTCCTGCCCTGCTTGAGTTCCTGTCCTGACTTCCCTCAGTGATGGACTGTAACCTGGAAGTGTAAGCTGAAATAAACCCTTCCCTCCCCAAGTTGTTTCTTAGGTCATGGCATTTCATCACAGCTCCGTAGGGGCACTCATAGGACTATATGGAAGCATGTAGACAGTGTCAATGTGTGATGGCTTTAATAAGGTGCTAGTGTTTAGTTCATTACTAATACCAAGTGCTTTGTCCTTGTTCACCTGCTAGACTCTAGACTCTAGGCCAAGGTTATCTGATATTAGTGTTTTTCCACCAGTGTCTTTCTCTATCTTATTTAAAAATTATTATTTATCACTACCATGAATGTATGCATGTGTGCACACATGATGGTGTATGTATGGTGGTCAGAGGAAACTTTGGCTTTCTCCTTTCATGTTTGTGTGGGTTACAGGGATCCAACTCAGGTGCTCAGGTTCGTGTGGTAAGTATGTTTGCAGGCTGAGCTGTCTTATGTTTGGAGATGTGGTCTCTCACTGAACCTGGACCTGATAATTGGCTAGACTAGCTGGCCA